AAGACTGGCTAGGGAATTCTGGGAGTTGAAGTCCATCCATCTTAAAGTTGCCAAGGTTGAGAAACACTGATTTAGACTATGTGCACAGAGTATTTTGAACAGCTGAAAGCATTGTGCAAATATTACGTAGAGTGAAATCTCAGTTTAAAGGACCTTAATGCAACAGACTTCAGATTCAACAGATAAAATTTCCACTGCAATTACATTTGCATCATGACATCATGGCACATAACATACTGTCCAGATTAAAAGACAAATAGAAATAATGGACACTCCTTTCACCAAAGTGATCCATTAAGTCAAGAATTTACTATTTATTATAGTATTCTACATTCATACTGTGTTATAAACTTTTGTGAACTTTCAAATTTATTGAAGCAAACTTCACAACATCCACAAGATAAGCCAAATAGTATTCAACTTAGTAATTACTGTTTGCCTTTCTATTATTGTATACTTTGCTTTGAAATGGCAAATTACTCACCTTTTCTCTTCTGGTAATTGTAGCCAGCTAAGAAAAGTTACTACTCTTTCTTCAAATGATATTGATCTAAATAGAAAACACCAACAAAAGATTAGCACAAAAAACAGTGATGAAATCTTTAATTGCTTATTTAATTTGTATATGTAAGGTCAATTGTTTTCAGACTTCATTTGTTTAGCTTCTTCATATTAACTCTGTTGATGTAGGATTCACTGAGCAGGTTACATGGGACCAGAATTCAGCTCCTAAGAACCAAGGCTCTCTGAAGAACCAAGGTTTTCTGAAGAAGAGAAGAACAGAATAATAGAAGAGAAGGAAGCAGCCATCAGTGTGGGACACCAACATTAAATAGATGAATGTAGCACATTTCTTGTAGCCAGGGCTACCATACCTGGGCTAAAAGAAATGTGCTACATTCATCTATTTAATGGGGGTGCACATGCTTTGAAAATTATTTAAATTTGGGGGGAATTTTGCAACCCACATCTGGTAGCCCTAGCACAGAGACTTGCATGCCACATATGGCTTAGGGCAGTAGTCGTTGATTTATTAAATCTGGATAGAAAGATCCAGCATATTTTAAGAACTCAGAAAACATTTAGATAACTGTTCACCTTGAGTTGTTGCTCTAGTTCAGTATTTCTCAATCTCAGCAACTTTAAAATGTGTGGACTTCAACTCCCAGACTTCCTGCGACTTGAAGTCCACACATCTTAAAGTTGTTGGGGTTGAGAAACACTGCTGTAGTTGTATATATGGCTGGGTTGTTTTCTATCATTTCAGAATTGATATTTATAATTTTATGAATGAATGATTTTTAGATTTACTTTCATGCAATACTTCTTGATTGTTGGTTCTGTGCTTCATTTTGTTTTTTGTAAGGATCCACAGACCACATACAATAAAGTATTATGCTGTTTATACAGTGTTCCCTCAGTGGAGTCCCACTGTAGTTTATTGGATTCTATCTTCACATTCCAGGCATATTAAATAAATACAACCTCAGAAATAAGGAGCTGAACCTTTTTCTTTGAATCCCTATTGTGGCATCCTACTCGTAATATCTCTACTTGGTACCTAACCAGAACAGTGCCCATATATTCTCATCTGTGCCTTTGTACACACGCTCATGTGAGAGATATTATAACTCTGTTCAGTTATTATGCCTAAATACAGTATACTAAAAGGAGTAAAAGAGATGGGACAACACAGGTTGGCCCTATTCCAACAAACTTGTGCACAACACCTCAACCCCAACATCTCTGCCCTGTCCTCACCTCCAACATCCTCTGCCCATATGGAAGCCTGATAAGTATTCTGATGTTAACTCTCATGTGATCTTGTTCTTATTTATGTTTAATTATTTAAGTCTTTTAAGTGATTTTATAATAAGTTTTAATTGTTGGTTTTATTGTACATTGCCCAGAGTCACTCTGTGTGGGATGGGCAGCCATATAAATGTGATAAATACATACATACATACATGCATACATACATGCATACATAAAGTAGGAGATGATCTAGTTCCTGGTTGTTTGGAAGTTTCATCTTAAAGTAACAAACTTCACTGTTACAATCAGAAGTAGCAAATGCAAAAACCATATTCCAAAAACAAAAACTGAACAAATCATAGCCATAAGACAAAACTTTACAGCCACGTCACAAGCTATGCCAAACTGATCTGATAGTGGGTAGGCAACATACCTACCCCTTGCCTTTCTCAGCAGCTGAATTAAAAAAGATTTTATGGGTCTACTGTGAATCTCTCTACATAGCAGACAATGAAGTAAAACATGACTATTTCCTCTGAGCCACAACCAGTTGTAGGTGTCAGGACTACAGTATTTTCCAACCAGTAGTACTGATGATAAAACAAGCTAAGATAAAACCTCTTCTGCAGTTTGATCTGTATAAAGCAACTTCAAGACCACAATTACACCTTTCAAAAATATTTTTTGGAACTTAAGTCATGCAGCTATTTAATAAAATGACATTAATTCTGTCAAATCGCTATGATAAAAAGGGTTGTCAGCTCAAGCAAATATAGTTCTCCCCATTCAAAACAGAGCATTCAGAGATGCTAGTGGCAGGATCCTATTCAGGAATAATGTCTACACTGACCTACTGTTTACTGTATGTAGGACTGAATTCTTACTGTTTGACAAAGACTGAACCTTAGGTAAAGTATCAGTGAGGTCTACAGATTTTAAGAATATCTACTAGTAATAAAATTTAAGGAGCAAAGTGAAAAAATGCAACTAAAATTAAATATAAAGAAGACCAAACTAATGACAATAGGTAGAACAACCAGCCTTACAACTGGCAATCAAGATATTGAAGTGGTGGATAGCTTTTGCCTTTTAGGATCAACCATCAACAGTAAAGGAACAAGCAGTCAAGAAATACGCCACAGACTAGCACGTGATAGAGCAGCCATGAAGGCCTTGGAAAAGACATTCAGATGACATGATGCGTCTATACCTACAAAGATGAGAATTGTGCAAACCTTGGTATTCCCTGTGACACTCTATGGAAGCAAAAGCTGGACTTTGAAGAAGCAGGATAGGAAGAGTATTGACACTTTTGAACTCTGGTGTTGGAGAAGACTCCTGAGAATACTGTGGACAGCCAAAAAAAATAAACCAATGGATCATCAAACAAATCAACCCAGAGTTCTCACTCAAGGCACAAATGAGCAGGCTCAAATTATCCAACTTCAGACACATTATGTGAAGACCTAGCTCCCTGGAAAAAGCTCTAATGCTAGGAAAGGTGGAAGGAAAGAGAAGAAGAGGATGACCAGCAGCAAGGTATATAGACTCAGTTACAGTGGCAATGGGTGTAATGTTGGAAGACCTGAAAGACCAGGTTAGGGACAGATCATGGAGAAAATATATCTATGTGATCATTGGCAGTTGAAAATGAGTTGATAACATATAATCAACCGATCAATCAACATACCATAAGGCTAATCCCCTCTTTCTCTCCCCTACCAACTAAAAACAAACTCAAACCTATAAGAAGGACATTTGGAAAGAATTACAAATTTAGAATTCTTACAAAGCCTTTCAACAAGGTACATAACCAAAAAAACATTGAAAAGCTAATTAAAATCTTAGAATGTCAGCAGTAATCAGTATCTTCAAATCTTTTCACAAAAAAATTGCAAAAGCATAACAACATAATTAAAAAAAAAACCAAGAAATTTGCAGTCACCATAATAGCAAAATAAATTAAACATGCACTCCCATATTCTAACAAAGTTTCTAATAAAACAAATAAATAAAAATCCATAAAATAATAAAATTTAAAATCATATGCTAATGACACACATCTAACTACAACAGGACATAAAGTAATGTAATAAGGGCATTTACTGAAGAATTTACTGTAGTAGCATGCGCTTAAAATATACCCATAGATTTTCTTTCAAGCAAGTTTTCAACCCCACTAACCACTTAAACTTAAGCAACTGTTAGAATTTAAAATATTGGTAGAAGGGGAGAAAGGTTGAGCCACAGCAAGAGCTTAAAAAAAGAGAAGCTATTCCAAAAGAATCCTGCCACACTTAAAAAGATTTAGCTTTTTAGGGCTTTTTTCCTCCATTCACAAATTCTCACCCATTGTATGATTTGTATATGTTTGGAAAACTTCCATTGACATCAACATCTGAACCAGGCCAGAAAAACGCAGCCGATTTTAGTCCCTGATACATTGCAGTCAGCCAAATCTGTACAAAAAAGATAAACACTTGTTATTCATGAATTCTTCCTGTTTGCTGCATTTGGAAAACAATTTGCTGCTTTAAAAGAATTTCATGGATTTTTGTTTGCCAAGCCCCCCCCCCCGCCCCCCATTCTGTGTTGTCATCAAAAGGAAATTTCCCCCTACCCTCATACTATTCTTCTCATGCAGAATCTTTCATTGTTTAAAGCGATTTATTTTTCAAGGCTATTCATAAAAAGATGAGAAGCTGTCTTCATTTATGACAATGCCTCTCCTGAGTCTTTCACAAGATCTGCTATTCTGTTTCTTCTAAGTACAGATGATGAATGCTTTATCGTGGAATCTTCAACAATAACTCTGATTATTTCAACATTCCTCTGATCAAGCCTTTGCTAGAGAGTACTCTATACATTTTTGCATTGAGCACTCTTGATCTTGTATTCACAAAGAACTGCTTCATTTGTGACTTCTCTCCTGAAAGCCATGATTAGCTTTTCAGAAATAGTGTCCTTTTCCCCTCTCTTTATTCATGTTTCAAAAAATATGGCAGACTTATCCATTATAAATTTAAGACCGCCTCCTTCTCCTACACTGGCTGTCTGGCAAGACATCACCAATATATCTGCCTATCCACGGTAGCTCCGGGAATCCTTAATTCCCTTGCCACATTTCTCCACTCCTGTCCCACCTGAGGCTTGTCTCCTCTTCTTCTTTCCTATTTACCTTCCATTCTCCAGTTGTCCTGCACTGATACCTCCCACAATCTATTTCTTCTTCTCCCTGTTTTGCCTGAGTACTTTCTTTTCCTTGTCTAGTGTTTCTCCTCCTTCCTGGTTTTCATCTCCACACCATTATCTCTTTTTCTACTTGAAGGCCTACAAAAGCTTTGAAAAAAAAAAAGCTAAGTGGCTTAATGAACAAAGTAAAGCCATAAATGAGATTGGAGGATAACAACAGCAATACGTGTAATAATAATACCAAGAACAACAGCTATACCTGCATATTGCAAAAATAAAGAGGAATAATTGATTACGTTTCTTTTACTGATCAGGTGGCTGACCAGATGGAATATGAACTGGAACACATGGAGAAAGTAAGATATAAAACAACCATACATTATTCTCTAAGATGCTGGGAACAATATGAAAGAAAAAATAGGCCTTTGTGTGCCAACACTTAGTGAAAACAAAAAGGCTTTGCCATTTATCTTGGACTGTAGGAGGGAGTTTCACTTTGGTCTCTTAGCTTGTAAAGACATTTCATTGTTACAGTGATTTGTGCGTGTATTAGGTATCTTGGCAATAAAAAGTACCTCAAAATACCATGACACAGTGAGCTGAACTGCAGATGTGAAAGGGGGTGGCATTTTACACAAAGACGGCAGAGGAGTAAAAAGCAGGGAAAACAAGAAAAGTGAGGTAGCAAGAGAAAAGCCAGCAAGATTTCATCAGAGCAATCAGCACAAACAGAAAGGAAAACCTGCTTATTGTCTCTCAAAGCCTTGTGCTATTCTAACCAGAGGAAGGAAGGAAGGAAGGAAGGAAGGAAGGAAGGAAGGAAGGAAGGAAGGAAGGAAGGAAGGACCCACCACCTGAAAATCTCCCAACTTCCCTTACTGGAGACATAATTTAGGACACAGTGAGACACCATTTCATAAATATTTCATCTATTGTGTTTGTAATTCTGTAGATAGAAATTGTACAGTTGTATAAAAGCAGTGCATTATAAGCTGTAAATTGAATTGCACCTTTGTTCCCCTTTTATGGTCTGAATTTCTGGTCCTAACAACGCAGTCTGTTTGAACTCTGGTAAATGATTGTGCTGACCAATGTCTTTCGTACCCCATGTCAACATGTTACTGTCTCCCATTTTTCAAATGAAAAAGAAATAATCTCTTAACCCTTCATCTCCAATATCATTTATTCCTATTGCATCAATTCTCCCCCTTGATCCCTTCAATATGTTTTCCATTCTTTACCCTGCACTGGAAATGCCTCCACAATAATCACAGCTTAGCCTATTGTCTTTTGACCTGTCTGATCATTTCTTTTCAGTGTTTCCAGGGACAACAGATGGGTCTGTTATTAGTCCTGCCCCCATTTTTCAATTCTATATCAATATGCAGGTGAAACCCAGTTCTACCAGTTTCCACTCATTAATCCTGCAGCTCCATTTTCCCCAGTTACATTTATGCTAACATGCTTAAACATTGCCATTTCAAATGAAATGGGCTGGATCTAGACATGCCCGTCCCTAAATGGGGTGCTACTTTCTAGGGGCAGAACAGACTGAAGTCCAGCAAAGGCTTCCCACAGGAGGAAACAGTCAGTCATGATTTTCTGATCCCCTTCCATCCCCAACTGACTCAGTTCCACTTTGCTCTAGATATCCCCAACTTTCCACAGTGGGAGCATCAGGGAAGAGAAGTTAGACACACAGCTCCGCCCTTTCCTTCTTCCAGCAAAAGAGCAGGTTCCACCTGACATATAAATTACTGAACCTCTCATCTTTCCTTTCAATCTCCCTTTTCTTCACTTGCTATCTTTATCATTATTACGTTACCATTTCTCTGTGGAACAGGCAGATAGCCTTGGTTTTATCTTTAACGCTCTCTCTCTCATTTCTCATGTTTCCCATAGATAGTCCCACTCAGCTCATGTTGCTTCTCTGTATAAAAAAATTACACAATGATTTCCTCTTTTCTTGCAGCAAAAATTCTGTTTGTCTTGCATTTAGACTACTCCCATCTCCTTGTCTCCGATTTTCTTTTGTCCTTCCTTAACCCTTCCAAAAGTCTGTTGCAAAACCAGTCTTTAAAAACAAAAAAACCTAAATAATCACCCACAAAAAACTGAAAATAAAAAAGAAGAGCCATAGGAAAAACAGAAAACAAACTACAAAAATTCAAAAACAAAAAGCACTTAGTTTGGGTATGTATATACATACATTAGTTACCATAAGGAGGTATATTAAATTTTAGACATCCATATTCAATACTTCTGACTAAAATTACATTTGTATGGATGAAAGTTAGTCTATTACAAATTATTTTGTTGAGAAACAGTAACTAAAAATGAAGACCAAATGTGAATTTGAATCTTAAATGTGAAATGTATTTAATTAAAGAATTTCTTAAGAGTTTCCCACACCTTTTGAAAAGTATTGCTTCATGGCATTTAAAGATGTATTTTAGTTTTCCAGTGTTTTGCTTTAGTAAATCCAGCAATTAACAATAACTGAATTCATTTCGTATATCATTTCACATGTCCTTGGAAAAAACAAACAATAAATCTGCACTACATTTAATTATTTACAAATGTTGTGTAATTTTTCCTGTGTCCTCAAAAACTTTCAGCTAAACTGAGTGGGCTTTGCCACTAGGAAGGTAATATATACCAACATGATTTCAACTCTTCTGACATGATCTAGATTTATGTTGTATATTGCATTAGCATTTTAAGGGAATCTAATTTATAGAACCGCCTATAAATTATTTTTATAATCAATTTTATGACTTGCTAAAATATCTGTTATAGAAATTTTATGCCATATAGTTTCAAGCTCAATTATCAGCTTCAAATCCCAAGTCTTCTTACACATTTTAAAGATTCTCTAGAATGTCTGTTATGTAAGTACTTTGATTCTACTGAAGAATTTCCCTTGATTTTAAATGATGAAATTGTTGGGGTTCTTAATCGTGAAGATCTCAGTAGGGATGATTTTATGTCTTTCATCTGAAACCAAGTTGGAACTTGTAAGCAGTTCCATAGAGCTAACAAGTGCAGAAGGCCAATAAGATGACATAGTGAATGCTATGGGGAAATATCTGTATCTGATTTAGGAACAATCAGAAGTTACATTTGTTTCCAAAAGACAGGCATTTTTGCACCTAAATCTCCATCTTTATCTTGGAAAGCCACCAATAGGTTTCCCTTCTTTATCTCTCAGAGTTTATAGCTTAATCATTCCCTGCCTGTTCCCTGCTCATATACTTGATAGTGCTTCCTATAAAGATTTTCTCTCAACTTGCCTAAAAAAATGAATAACTGGAACTACAAGTAGTACCCTATTTATCCCTGCATCCATTTCTACCTTTCCAATATTGGATTCCTGTTTTGAATTTTAGATGTTAAATTCTTCAGGGCAGAGAATCTGTCTTCTTGTACCGTATGAAGCACCATGCACACTGAAGGCATTATAGAAATAATAGTACATTGATACGTGTGCATGTTTCCAAAACAGTTTCCATATTTATTAAGGAAAAACAAAATACAAACTTTAAGTATCTTTTGAGAATTAATAACACATTTCTCTATACTCAAAACTGATACTTACTGGCTGTCCTTGGTACCACTGTCGATTAAATTTCTCTGCATTTCTGAGCGTGAAAGTAGCATTTCTCTTTGGTTCATACATTTTGTTATCCACTAGACCGTGGGATTCTGGGTATAGACCCTGAAAGTAAGATTTAAATCATTATGCAACAATGATGATGATATATCTACAGTTGGAGACCCCAAGCTATATAGAAGACAGTAACACTTGGATCTCCATCAAGTTTGATTCCCTCAAGGTTATTACAATAGTGGATTTTAAACTAAAGTTTGCTAAAAAAAAAAAAAAACCTTTTCACACCTTTATCAATCTTCCCTCACAATTTCAAGGTAGCTTGTGAACTTTCTAGGCACTCTTTATTTCATGTGGGGCAACTGTAAGGCCCAAGAGAAGTTAAACATTAAGGCTTAATGTGCATGTTAATATAAACATTTAAAGAGACAATATTGGATTTACAGAGAAAAGAGTCACAAACCACACATCGGGCAAACAAATGCTGGGATGTTATGGTATCTGCACTGGTAACATGGAATTAAGGAGTGGGAGAAAGTCGTGGAAGTCACTCCCTGGTTATTCCTGCTAATAAAATGAATTAGGCTTTTTAAAACTCTGGTACTTCTCCAAAAGGAGTGTGGAACAGTGAGAAACAGGAACTGCAACATGCCCTTACCGTAGCAATACTGTAATGATTAGGAAATGTTTTTGACGGATACACTGGCCTTAGGCTACGAGTATATGTCCCACATTTTCCTGTCAAGGGAAAAAAATAACAATTCCCATTTATAAATAATAAACTTTTTCATATCAAATATTTAGAGTGACTTAGAATATTATAGCAATTCCCACATGCTTTTGCAGCAGGAGGAGGCAATACATAGGCAGCCCCTGAATCTCTTTTTACCAGCCCTGGAACCCCCAGGAGTAGAATGCCAAACACTGGCAGCACAATTTCCCACTGAATTTGGGTAGCAAAACAAAATATTCTCAGTTTTAAAACAGGCTTGCTACATATTAGATCAAGCACTCCAACTGCAACACCCAGAATTCTCAACCAGCGTAGTCTTCGTTGGGGAAGGATGGCATAGAGCAAGGAGCAGGAAGGGATCTATTCACACAAATTAGGTCATATGCAGGGTTTGGGTAGCCTAGAGCCACTTTTCCTGGATAGGCTAGAGAGGGTTTATGTTGGCCTAGTGAAAATCACAATTTTATCTAGGAAGTTGCTTTATCTATACTCTGTAGGGAGAATTATGTGAGTTTCTCCTTGAAATACATACAAACACATCAGTTGTTCATTATATTTCTTAGGGGATCCTGTGAAGCAATGGTCCTCTTAAATAGAATGAGCTTTGATTAGGCACTCTGGACATTAATATCCTGCTGCTGCAATAACAGAGATATTGAAAGGGGGTTCATACTCCCATATATTATTGAATTTGTGATATGAACGCTTAGAAGCATGCCTAAAAAAGCTAAAAAGATACTGATTTCTTTGGACTTGTTTTTCATTATTAGTTAAAAACAAAAAGACTCATTCTACTGTAATGCATCCTAAAGAAAGACCTTAACATTTCCTGCAATAACATGCCAAGATTAACGCTCTTGATATATTGCAATGATGATCTATAAAAAGTCTGCATGTACCAAATCTTCTGACTTATTAATTGGTCCTATGAGCTTCATGTTTGACTTGGACTTTTCAAACAACTAACTCAGGAAAATCTGAAACCGCAACTTATAATTAAAATATTTTTTAATGAACGGCAGAGATATTAACATTTCACTTTTTTCCTCAACTTACTAAAAATTCTGTTTCCCCTCCAGTAACAACAACAACAATGTATTAAATGTATATGCTGCCTGACTCCCAGAAACTCTGGGTGGTTACAGTATATCATGATACTGTCTCAAAAATCAGAAATCTAAATACTTAATATAAAAGTTTAGGTCAAATGGACAGATGTTGTTATAGGATAGCTTAGAAAATAGTACATTCTACTAAGCCACAATTTATTTTAACAATGGTTTGCTAAATTAGTCATGGTGGCCTGAGTCACACACAATAGTAAACCATTCTTTGCAAATCACAACAGCACTGGATTCTTACATCTCACTAAACCAAAAGCAAATTACATTATAGCTTAGTCTGATATATGAACCTAGTCAACTAGAGAGATCCATAACTTGTTTTTACTGTATTTATTTTCTGTTCCTTACCTTACACAAATAATGTATAACAAGCAATATTACATTGTTCCAAATGAGAGGCACAAATGCCCATGGTCCTCACTCCCTTCATATATTTTAGGGACTGCTAGAAGTTTAAAATAGAGAACTTAGACTGCATCACTAAATTACAGATGGAAAATATTCACTGTTCTCCTGTCTTCTGTCAACACTCTAAAATAGAAATTTGGACAACAAATTGTTCAAGTAAGATTTCAAAAATTTTTGTTGTTCAGTCGTTAAGCCGCGTCCGACTCTTCGTGACCCCATGAACCATATTGCGCCAGGCCTTCCTGTTCTTCACTGCCTCCCTGAGTTTGCTCAGTTTCATGCTCATTGCTTCAGTGATGCTATCTAACCATCTCATCCTCTGCCCTCATACCTAGTACTAACTCCTAATTATTATTCTTTAGATTATCAGCACTTTCATATATGGAAATGTGGTCACTACAAACTTATAACAGTTAAAAAAATTATTACTGGATTCAAGCAGGACTCCACCAAGTTCATGCTTGTGTCTTGAATGACTGTTGCCCATGAAACAGCCAGTCTTATCTGGAGTTTACAAAGGATGTGAAGAGCTTCAGAAGAGCTTCATGTCATATGAAAGGGAAGACCACTGAATTCTTTTTTCTTAATATTTCTGCATGCTATTGCTCAGACAGAGTAGGTACTCACTTAATTTGCTAATAACAGGAAGAAGTCCACCCCAGGTATGCAAATATTCAGCTCGGAATCCATCCAAAGAAAACAGTAACACTGGAGGTTTTGTAAATCTGAGCAGATGGAAACAATAAGACAGTTAAAGGAAGCATCTGATAATTATTCATTTATTTTCTACGTGCTCCAGATTAGAGGTCTCTTCCTCCATATGACCATAAGCATGTGGCAGAAGAAAGCAGAACCACGCCTGCTGCCCAGCACCCACTATTCATCTACATCATCTTTCCTTGATCTGATGCCCTCTAAAACCTCGAACCTCAGCTGCCATAATGATGGGAACTGCAGGAGATAAGAGCCACATGTTTTGATAACACCAAGTTGGAAAGGCTGTTCTACATGTACAGTATAGGCTCTGCCAATCTACACAAGATTCCACCTGAGAGGGAGGAAGTAGCTTTCTTTATGTAGAGCAAGCATCTTTTACCAGACCTTCCCCCCAAATGTGCACAGTGAGGAAAGAAGAAAATACAGTAGCAATTATGGGGATGATAAATATGCCCTTAATTTAATAATGTGATTTTGTGCACAAGCAAATAGGGCTTATATAGATATGTACATGATATCTAACCCTAACCCTAACCAAGGTAGTCCTTGGTTAACAACAGCAATTGGGACCAGAATTTCCATCGCTAAGTAAAGCACAACATCATATGACCACACCACTTAGTGACAACAGTTCTGGCACTTTCAGTTGCTGTTGTTAATTGAATCCTGCAATGTCGCTAAGTGCGGCATCACATGGTCGCCATTTGCAACTTCCTGCTGGCTTCCCCATTGACTTTGCTTGTGGGAAGCTGGCAGTGAAGGTCACAAATGGTGATCATGTGACCATGGGACACTGAGATGGTGTAATTGTAAGCTAGTTGCTGAGTGCCTGGATTGCAATCACATGATTGTAGGGATGCTATGACAGCTGGAATTTCGAGGACTAGTTGTAAGTACCACTCGTTCAGCACCACTGTAAATTCGAAGTCGCTGAACAAGTGGTCGTTAAGTGAGGACCACCTGTAACAGGTATAAATATTAACATTCATAATTTTTTTTTAAAAAATGAATTTGTTCAAGATTTATTCTTGGGATTAACTGATTTTTTTTTTTTTTTGGTCAAGGTTGCTTCAAGAGAAGTTTTGATATCACATCCTCTCTCCACAGTTCTTTAGAAAGTTGTAAAATCCAGCTTAAATATTCTTACCCTTCTGGACACTGGTGTTCACTTATGTCTTCACATTTCTCTTCAAGCCAACTTGCCTTTCCTTGTTTTTTTTTTAAAAAAAGAAGTTTATTACATTATTTTATTCTTCAAAACAGTAAAATTGATTTGATACCTTATTAATTGTGTAATTGGGAAAATATTATATTTACTTTATTTCTTAACCTCCTGCTAAATTCCATATATATCATGAGTTCTCCAGCTCTTTTTTTAATCGCAAGCCCACTGGGCATTGCAAATCTAGTCATTCTTGGGTCTCAACTTTGATATTACTATATTTACAGATCACAGCTATAATAAAAAAAATGTCATTAAATGTAGCCGTCTGTATTTAAAAAAAATTTTTTTAAGAAAAGTTGTAATTTTTAAAGTGGTTATCTCAAATTGGTGGTCCTGATGTCTATATTGCTTATTGATGCAGAAAAGCTACACATGTGAAGCTTTGAAATGTTGTCCATCCTATCTAGCCCACCCATTACCCTACCCACTGACCTTCCCACTGACTCTCTAGTAGAAAAGTGCTGCCAAGCCACTGTTTTTTTTCCTTAGCCCAGTTCTGATCTGAGACAGAGCCTGAGAAAAGTAGCTGAGAATGGGATATAAGAGAGCAAACATGAGAGGAGAGAGGACTCAGCTCCCATTTCTTGAATTCCACATTTGATGTCCCAGTCAAATGCTTCTTCCCATTCTCCTGCTGGATATTAAAATAGGAAAGATGTGAGCATGGCTGGCCATACTGCAGTTTGCCATGCCCTTAGAAAGAAAGGTCAAGACTGAACAAATGATTTAAACAGTTCCCATGATTAAAGGAGCTTTGGACTGAAGACAGGATAATTTCTGGATGTAGAGTGTATTTCCAATGACACACTGAAATCCCACAGAGAATGCACTAATCCTTGAGAACTGTCAGAGCATTTGCTTACTATATACAGAGTGGGTGGCAGAGCATTATCCCTTTGCTTTAAAAGCAAATGCTTGCTATAGCACATAAAATGAGATCCCAGTTAATTCAGCTCCCACTAAAATCAACTGGCCTTATGTCACACTGTGACCAACTTATCCCAATAATTTCAATAGATTCTGAGTTTGAATAGAATCTGGCCTGCTTTCTTTAGAAAGAATGCTTAGAGCAGCCTTTTAAATCATATTTCTTGACCTAGAAACTAACACAAAATCCTTGAAAAAATAGAATAAATTGCCCAGTGCACTGCTGCCTTTGGAAGAAAGAAGCAAACAGGGAGTTTTACCTTGACAAACAGAGTAATAATTGACACAGCAATTATTATTTTTCACGCAATCATCAGAACAGGAACAATGATATTCTAGCCGATTCTTCTCACCACATCTAAATTTGGTACAGGTCCATATCTTAGCTATAAACAGAGGGACATGATTTGAAATTAAACACGTCTGGGCTGGATATATATATAAAACCTCTAGATGGAATTGCATGTCAAATTATTATAAGGCTACAAAACCAAAAAGGGGCTTTTTTTTTGTACTTTCCAAACTCAAAGAAATATTGAGAAAGGGTTGCATGGATAAAGCCTCCAAACTTTAGGAGAAGATCTGGTGCCATCATTTAAATTACCCCACTAATTTAAATTCCCCCATATTCCTACCTAACACATTTCTCCTACTCACCAATCCATGCACTCTCCCACCATTTTAAATACAAATGGAGATCTGGAACCCCTAGGTTCAAAACATCTAAAGGAGACCTTCCCAATCATTTTGGTCTGGTCAGCATATTTGGAATCTGAAGAACATATCATGGGCACTGTCACAAAATGGTTGCCATGGAATGGAGATTGCCCATTTAGAAAAAAATGGGCATGGTGGGTATGGCCAGACATGAATTATTTAATTTACCAGAACAGAAACTGGTAAGAAAGTTCCATTCCTTCCCCGATAGCCCCCATCCCCATTATGCTCTCTACTAGGAATATACAGATCAGGCAAAATATGATTCAAAATATTGATTCAATTTGGTTTTCCAATCTGGATTTCCAAGTCAATTAAGCAATTCTAATTGAATTTATTCAATTCAAACATATGAATTGGTTTGGAACAAAACAATTTAGGCACAAGTAATTGCCTAGAATCAAATCAACTTTAAAATTTGGTCAGAAATAAGATTAAATTAAGAATGGAATATTCACACTATTTTTCTACCATTCCAACTTACTTTTTTAAGTACTGGCATTTTTTCATTTTCTAAGAATTCTTTGGTACTCAGAAGTATTTTGGGAAATAAAAATGATACTGCAGACTAGAGCTTTGCTTTCCATCATGCCAGTTTCCCTCTAAAAATGTTGACTTTTTATTTAAGTAGGGGAATGACCTGGATTTCAAGTAAACTGTCCATTGGTACTACATTAAAGAAAGTGGAATTGAAGCCATATTCAGGAATTGCCCCGTAATAAATAAGAGTTCAAAGAGTTTATGGCAGTGATTCTCAAAGTGTGGTGATTCACTACAGCCTTCCCACTTTCAGAGGCCAGGGCCCATTTACTATCTCAGCTTCTACCTTCCCACACATACTGACAGTCAACTAGTGAGAACATGTTCACCATCTTAGTCTCTGCCTCTCCATATGCCCAACAATCAGGTGGTTTACAAAAACTGACTAGTGCTAAAGATGGTTCATTAAAATGTATAAATACTATTACAAGTAGCAACGTGAGTACTTAGATTAAGAAAACTGACAGTAGTGAACAACTCTTCAGTGAAGTTACCAACCCTGAGTCCACATGTGCTCTGCTAAGTGGAACTGCGATTTAACACCCGAAAGAAAACTGTGAATAGTAAAAAGGATGATGTGTATCTAAAAATGAAATCTAATTGGGCTGGGTCCTGTTCACCCCTAGCCCCTTAGTATTCAGAGATTTCTATTTAAGAATGCTCATGACCAGTAGGTTTGTGCTAAAAGTTTTCATATAGCATGGGGTGTATAAAATAATCCAAATAAATACTTAATTTTGGATTAAATGGTTTGATGTAAAATTTAGTCTAAATCATTAAAATGGAGAAGATGGGAAAGCATGAACAAATGCAACTGTAGTCATTATATTATTCATCAATGAACTCCAATGTTTTTAAAGACAAAAGGTAGGGAGAAGTGTTTATTTAATGAGGTTGTTCTCACATTTTTTGAATATTTAGTGGTCCACCATTGCAGAAAGCTTGTGGAACACCAAGGAATTGGCATGGACTTACTAGCTCTATTCCTCGATCAAGAATTTCCTGCATGGGCCAGAATAAGTTTTACATACTTGATCATACTTCATCAGGCACAGAATTCTTTACATGGTCCAGTTGCAAAGAATTCTATTTTCCTTCAAGCAATTATAGGTAAAACCAACTCAGATCTTCTTGTCTGAGATAAGGAAGTCAGAGGTGGCCATTGTGTAAGGTTGTTTCCTTCTACATGGTTTCAACCTTCATATGTCACAAGAAAATATCTGAAGAAGGCTTAATTTCTGCTTCTCAAAACTGTACATTTTCAATCAACTTGAGACCAGATAAAAATAATGATTGAAGTCCAGAAGCATAACTCCTTCAAAAACTGAGCTGGAATGAAATGAAATGCAGTAAAATAAAATATGCTTACCAGGTTCTATACAAGCTTCCTGGAAATCTAAACAGCAGTTTCCAAGTTTAACACATTCACTGTCACAGCGGCAAGTTCCAAATGTTCTTTCATAGCAACGACCCTTGCAGGTTTTCACTGAAAATTTTAATATTTACTTGATGTTAGGGATTGAACACAACATTCTATTTCAGGGTAGATCTGACATGGTTTGGCATCCATGTGCAGGAAAGTATGGATTCTCCTTTCAGTAACTCCCTTTTCACTAACCTCTAACCAATAAATAGACTTTCTTGGTCTAACAGAATATAAGTGCTACTGAATCTGTCTATGAATATAGATGTGGAAGCAGCATTGGCGGCATGCACAAGCATGTTGCCTAAATTTCAACTTCAACAAATGGAGACTACATTGACCTATTGGATCCAAACTTGCCCGTTCTCCCAAAAGGGATTAAATGAAGGCTTATCTGTGTTGGGCTGAATACAGCTTACTTTTCTCATTCCTTATATGTGGGAGGAAGAGGTTTAAACTAAAAAAGTCCTGCCAGACTAAAAAACCTGGGGGAAAAAACGTTTCCATACAAAACTTTGATACTGGCTGCTATGAGCCAATTAATAGTAGCTCTTCCTTGACCCCATTTATGACTGTATAGCTAGTCGTAAATGCTAAATAATCCCATGCATGTTTCCTGGGTGCCATGGGATTTATTCCAAGGAAGTGTGCATAAAATTGTAACTGAAGGTTGTGATCCTAACATACTTATCAGTGACTTGCATGCGATCTGAAACTCATTTGATTAAATTAACCAAGGTTCTTCTTAATTAAATGGCAGTTCAAATAAAATATTATCAATAGCATTCATGATTTATATTGTACTGAGTTCCTAATGGAAAAGCTATGACAACCAGGCATATTCATATTAAATCAGAGGAAGATTAGCCAGAAAACCAATTATCTAAATTACTTTGTTCATGCCTGGATTATATTCTCATATATAAATTCTTATTTTTGCATAGTGTTTTAAGAAGTACAGTGGAACCTCAGGTTACGAACGCCTCTGTTAACGAACTTTTCGGGTTACGACCAGCTCCGGCCGCAAAAATTTACCTCGGTTTGCAATCTCCGCCTCGGGGTACGAACA